AAAGAAGTTGGTCCCCTTCATCGGATTGAGGGGTAAGATGGATGCGAAGATGTACCTTAATATCATGGAGACTGTTATCTGGCCGTTTGTTCGCAGTACTGCTCGCAGTGGCTTCATTTTCCAACAGGACAACGACCCGAAACACAAATCGAAGCTGCTCACCAAATGGTTCCGCGACGACAACGTCCCTCTGCCGACGTGGCCGTCGCAGTCTCCCGATCTGAATCCCATCGAACATCTATGGGAAAGACATGAGCATCAAGTAAAAGGCCTCAGAGCTCGGAATGAGCATGAGAAGTTCCTTCAGCTGAAGACAGCATGGGAGAACATCCCACAGGAAGAGATAGACAAACTCATCGAGTCCATGTCACGCCGATGTCAAGCGGTCATTGACGCCAGAGGTTATGCGACAAAGTATTAATGTCGTAGTTGTTATATTGATATTATACAAGTTGTTCCGTTGAGAAGTTGGAAATCCAGACAGATTAAAGATTTTATAGGTATGATGGTGCTTGGACACAAATTGATGTGAATTCTCTTAAAATATTGCATAATTCACTTAGACAGCTGAGAAATTGCTCGCTCATCACATCCGTTGATAGGCATTAACTATGAAAAAATCAGGCGGAAAGATGGACATTTGAGGAAGTTATGTTTGAAAAAGTGAAAACGAATACTTCACTGTCCGGTACAGTACTATAACTATTATATTATATTTAGTTCTCGGCTAATGTTTATTTACGGCAATGGTATGGCCAAGATGGTGCAAGAATAATCGCAACTCTTTTTAAGACGTTTTCTAGTCCTTAATAATTGTTTTAGTGAACGAATAGAGACAGAAAGCCGAGAAAGTAGCATAACAGTTCAATGATTTAGTCATAAACTGCATTGGAAGTGCTAGGATAGGGCTCAGAGCTGTTCCATCGAGTGGAAGCACTCATAAGGAAAGAAAATTTGTGGTTATCGATTTTCGATGGAAAATCCTTTTCTAAGGAAGCGCGGAAATTGGGCTGCTAAGATGATTCTGTTGAAGCAATCTCAGCATAAGTCCGATAATCAGGTACCTGTAGGTGGTATCGTGCACTGCCAAACTGGCTCACATTAAATTTTAACGGAGCAGAAAAGCGCAGCAAAAGTCAAAATCGTCCCCGACGACAACCATCTTGCAATAAATGTATACTTGTGATTTAGTCGTTGTGCGAAAAAAAAAGATTCTGAAAAAGTACTCATCTCTAATGCCCAAAAATTCTCGATGCAGCAGCAGTAGTCGACTAAATTTGGGCGACGGCCGACGCCAACAGTAGTATGACCACAACTATACCACTTTTTTTCTTTCTACCAATTCTTTCTTCCAAGATTTTTGCTGCTAAGTGAGGACAAGCAAAAGACTTTCCGTTTGTTGGTTATATAAAATTACATGAAAATGTTGCCTTTCGAAGTCCTGTGTTTTACTTCTTTTGTAGATTCTACTTTCTTTTAGATCTTCCGATCTTCCTTAGTACGTAAACTCTCCGCTCGAACCATATTAAATGTGATATTTTCAGAATCTTGACAAGTATGATGACTGCAGTCTTCAGAAGCATCTTCTGGTACTGGTTTCCTTCATGGACAAATCACTTCAAGCTGATCCACCTCACTTGAAGGCTTTCCAGAATTATTTAGTCGAGTAAGAAAATAAGCATTTCGTAGCAACCATTAGTCGTTTTTGCAAAATTACAAAATTAATTATTATAGCGATTTACCTCTTGCAGGCTTGCTTCCTCTATCGAGAAAGCCAAGGCTACTACGTCAAAGGATCACATTCATATGGCAATGGGAGTTCTTTTCAAATATAGTGGTGCATTGTTGGATGTTCAAAATGATTCTGATGAGGTTGGTGTTGGCTGTTTTGTACTGGTTTGGATATTTTTCAGTACACCAGTCGGTTCGCTCAACTAACTGCGGGCTTTCCTCTTCTTTGACAAAGGTGTAGTAATCGGCTAACTCTCAACCCATTCTTTTGAACAAACGATATTTTCCTGTGCATGAACTTTGACACACGGCTAACATGCAGTGCAAATGACACCCAGTATAAATCGGTGCTTACACCTTTAATTGTAAGTGAATCTTTTCCTCTCTCTTAAAAATGAATGCCCAATAAGATTCATTTGTCAGGCAACCAAAACCTTGGGCGGTACTCACAAATGTTAATAATACCATTATCAGACGTTGTCATTAGTGTACCTTTTTCTTTACCGAAATGTCATTACTTGAAAATTCCAGATTACTGGCGGTCCGTTGAATCTTGTCACAATCGGCCAAAGAGGATCCTTCATAAAGTTACAAACCTTGCTGGGTAGCGGTCGTAAACTAATAGCCAAAAATAAACAGAGTTCTTATCTGCTTATCGTAGCGCCTCTTATGGGTCCCTATTACTGCGCTTTTCGTTTCTTTTGTCACCCTACCCTACCATCTAATGAGGATTTTGATCGGTAGGTGGCTTCTCATAGATCCCTCATCTTTTCTTGTCAGTTATTATCGGTTCCTGTCACAGAGTACCCACGATTCCGTTATATCCTACATAGCTTATTAAAATGCTGAGGTTTCACTTTCAATACGAAAGGCTGTGATCCTTCCAAATTTGAACTCCTTAGGTTCACGGAGGCAGGAGTTATGAACTTCCGCCCAACCATTTATTTCGTGCACACCCTGCCCCCTGAGGGCGAATTCTGGTCCTGCCACCTGCCATCAGTGTTCCAAATTTCAACGCTCTAGGTCCACTGAAACAGGAGCTATGAACCTGCGGCTAAAATCATGATGAAGTTGTTGCTTTCAGATCTCATTCATATTGTATTCGCTGGCCTATCTTCACCTCTCTTCGGTCTCTTCAAGTAATGTGGAGGTATCAGCATGGACCGCCTTACATGCACTTGGTTAGTTTATAATAACAGTGCGTTGAGTGCGTCATTCTGCTACTTGAAAGTTTATAAGAATCGATCACTAATAGGAATGATCTCAAAGGGGCGATCGATTGAAGGGAAGAGGTTTTCCACTACAAAGTGTTGTTTCCGTAACAATTCTAAATCGCTCATAGCCACCAAAATGGATATGCTGCTCTTGTTTAACTATAAGCGGTCGCCCAAATGTGGCTTGTGCACATAGTGACATATTTATTAGGTTGATGCATAATTATTGCGGATTTTTTTCCAGCAAATTTTACATATAGAAAGCATAGGAATATTTAGCAAACACATGTTCAAATAGTTGGTCCACGACTTATACGTCAAGCACTGCTTCCCATTCGCTAGGCCGTCAAATTAAACAGGCGATTCAGAAATTTCGATTCCTGGAGGCGATCCACGCTTTGACGTCGGCCACCGAGTCATCCATTTCGCCGAATGTCCTGTTCGCTAGCCAATTTTTCGATGGACGATTGACTTGATAATCCATAAGAGTTCTGTTGGTGAATAGGGTGAACGTGTTCTTATTCGGCTCTGGCTGACTGTTCCATCGCCGAGAAAATCGTTGGGATCACTTTATGACTGTGCCACTTTCCAACCTTTCTCAAAGTAATAGAGCGTAATGTGGTGTAAATGATGATGACTTTCTAGACATATTTCTGTTGAAGAAAGCAAGAAGATTATTTCTACCGAATCCCGAATTCAATATTCGAGTTGTATTAAGAGAACAGAAACCGCTAAAAATTCTGCAATAATTATGCACCAACCTATTAGAAAAGCTAACGCTGTTTTGCTCCTAGTGTGATGCGAAGCTTATTGTGAAAGCTTTGAGGGATATATACACATGAGTCAAACAAAAGGTGGAGGAAGATTGTATATTAGTGCAAGTGCTAGGGACTTCTGCTGTTGGTCGTTCTCTTCTTCCAACACCGCTCTACGCAAACTTGACTCTAGCCCCCCTCCCCCCNCCCCCCCCCCCCCCCCCCCCCCCCCCTGCATCTTTTTCAGGAAAATATCATATTTTGTGACATCATATGCAATGTACCCATATACATACACGCCCTTATTCATACAAATACACACATTTTTATGCGTTTACACACAATAGACGCACGCACACTTACACACATACACGGGTTGCGCTTCACTTTTAGCAAGGATGTTGACAAGAGGAGCATCTCTAAGCCTGAGCGAGTAGTTCTATCGTATTGACTCCAACTATATACAAGATATATTACTAATTGATAGTTTAACGAAAACCGGTTGAGTCGTTAACGTATGAATATGAACCTGATCACAAATGTTGAACCCTCTACGAGTTTCTGCATTCTAGCGTGACTTCCCTACATCCGGTGTTCTACCAGCCCTACCGTTGGTAACTGCCTGTACCATTTCCTCTTCTCCTCTACAACAATGTCGTTCTACCAGTTTTCCACTTTATACCGAGACGAAACAAGAAAGGGTTAAACCAGCTCTCGAGGGAGCTTGTTGAGACGAGACACATTGAGAGTTTTGATAAAACTCTGTCACGACCGGGCTATATATTATTCCACCGGCTAGACAGCTCATTTCTTAGAGTTTTAAAACAGCGTCCTATCCGAATTGCCTTGGATACTAGGTAGGCCGTTATCAATTTTGGCTTGGATGTCAAGATTTAAGGCCCATCCTATTCTCGAAGTCATCACAGAAGACCTATGTATGAATCGCTCCATCTTTTGATCTATTTCTCTGATTGTCTTCCTGTCTGTCTGCCTGTCATAAAAGTCGTTATTACCGGAAAGAACACCTTGAGAGTTCCTGTCAGATTCGGTGTGGAAGGGGCACAGACAATGTGAACCGAGCGCGACTGGGCTCAGCACAGTTTCACACTTTTAGATCTCTCCTCTATGAGGGCAGCATCCTCATCACCACGTTCATAACTCAATTGCAGAGCAGCATGGGGAACAAGAAAATTCATAGAGGTAAGCAAGGTCTAATGCGTGAAGCAGATCTTAGACTGAGCGGAACTTCAGCTAGGACGTGTTCTCAACCGGAAGGAGCTGCAAGGATTCGTAGCTCTGTTCAACTTTTTAGAATCCAGGGAGTGTTGTAAATTGTAAAAGGAAAACGATTGCAATGGACAGAGTGTGCACAGAAGAAGGTGAAGTTATGACCAATAATTCTCAACCGCGTCAAAAAAATCCGGTGAAAAGTGGAAGGACTAGATAAAGAAAAGAAGTCGTCTGTCCATTAGAGGCAATTGCCCGTTATGTGCGAGTCATTTGCGGAGGTGAGCGGAACTCAGACAAAGTATGCAATCTTGATCAAAATCTGGAGTCCGCAAATAATGTATAAAATTATGATAAGCAAATGAATAGAAACCAACTGTTCATAGCAGCTGGGTGTGCACCAGAGGGTCGAGCTAAGACCAGTACTCGCAACTACGTTTGAACATGCTCCAAGAGACCGAGAATGAAGATCAAGGTAGAGACTAAGGGGAAAAGAAATGGAATATCCAGGAAGGCAGGTTATATGTCATGATGGACGAAGCTATTGCAAAAATTTACAGAACTTTCGGAAATGTTGTTGAATCCGGAAAAAAAACAGGAAAGGCTGATAGAGACGCGATGAATTGAACGTCAAGAGAACTCGAAAAAAACCGTAAGATTTTCAAGAAAGGGTGGTGCGTCCTGAGGTGGTCGTGGTCAGAAATAGGAAATCCGCTACACTGTTTGAAACGTTATAAAGGTCAGCCAAGAAAGGACAGGATGTGGATGAGAGACGGGTTGAAGTAGTTCAGAGAAGGATGAGCTTAAGCTCGTAGTACCTTTCTGAGATGCATGAATCCGTAAAACATGGCCAATAACAAAGGAAGCGATGCCAAGTGTCATTGTTGATGTGACGTGCAGCGGAATGGGTGGATTTAAAAGATACGTCAAGGAATTCAGAGCGATCTTGATTGATTAGCAATTAGTGGACGCACGTGTCCACACTTATCCCTAAAATTCCCAAACCAGCAGTGATCTGGTTAAAGTAATCCTTTTGTGTACCTGTCAAAATCATAAAATGTGATTCTACTTGATTCCCCTTTATGCAATTTTTCTTTCCTTTTTCTTTTTAATTAGCTTTTTCCTTTCCCACCTGCAAGTTTTTTATACTTACCTGCCTCCCTCAATAGTCGAAATGGGCTCGTTGCATTTGAGCGCTCCTTATGTTTCATGTGGCATCCTTACGCTGTACTTGTATGAATGAGTTATCGTTGAATGCTCTTCTCACTCGTGTCCCTCGGCTTTCATTTTTCTCTTCTCTTCTTGGTTGATGAACCAAAAATGGAAACTTTTCTGCTCAAGGCTGAAGTGTTCGGTCTTGAAATTATTACAACTCCTTTCGAGAATTCCACGTCATACGCTCACTGTAATCATGCGTTGAGTTCATTTTAAAATAGCTTTTGGTGGCCTCTTTTGATCCCTGTAAAATGTGAATGCAGATAGCAAAGGCACCAGTTGACTGTCCAAGCAGATTAGGATCGAGCCAGATCGTAGAATAAGCACGATGGCTCAGGAAGCGGATCTAGGCGAGGAAGTTCGATAGCTGTGGATAATTGTGTTATTACTGTTTATTTTAGAAACAACAGCTGCTGTGTCCCATTCCAAAATCTCGGACAATGTGCTTAGTGCTCTATTGAACAGGGATGATGTGAGTATAGTTTGAATTTTTTTTGACGCTGGTGTATGTATCAGGTTGTTGTAAAAGTCTTGAGGCACTTAACGTACGTTTTGGATTCTTTCCCAACATTGTTTAAAGGCACAGTTCACGATAATTTTGGGTAATCCGGATTATGGCGAAAGATGGAAGACAAGATAGAAAATAGTGCGATGAAGGCGAAGAAACTGCGTGAATCGGTGTTTCCAAGGTGAAAAAAGGCTTCAAAAAAATCGTTAAAAAGGAGGCTGGACGAGAATGAGACCAGGAAAATGAAGACGAGTGGGGCATTTGGACGAGCTTTACAATGTGGGTCATTGCGTACGTGTGGGTCGTGGTGCAAATAAGTGACTATGGTAAGCAAAAATTCATTCACTATTAAGCATAACTAAACAAAAAGACCTTAGTAACAACAAAAATAGCTCACTTTTTTCAGTGTCTTGGGGTAGGAAATTAAATAAGGTATCGCAGCAGCAAAAAGAATAACAGAGGAAAAAAGAATGGGAGAAAAATATCAGCACATCACTCGGCGATCAGCTGATTGCGTGTGGGGCTAGAACGAATAACTGCAATCTCTATCGCATCGACACTCGTCTGACGTGACATCGATCGAGGGGCGGGAAAGCTCCGCGAGCCAGCAACAGGCAATTGTCGTGGATTGTGCCTTTAAACTCTCACTCAATATTCTATTTAGTTGCTATCACTATCTATGACATTCAGTCAACGAATGGGCAAGTTGGCTAGTCCCGTATGTAGGGAACTGTCAGTCAGCGAAGTCAGCCTCCGTATTCTCGAGGTCACCAAAAGTGGACAATTCTTGTCCAGAAACAGCTTGTGGTTTTCGAAAAAGTGATGGTCAGAAAGGGCGAGCTCAAGAACGGGAGGATGGATGACGGCACTCCGACACAGTTCTTCTGACTTGGACTGCTAGTCTTTTCGACGTGAGACTAAGCATTATTGCGGAGGATGAACAGAAATACTTCTCAGTCGCTTCTCTTCAATTTTATGAGCGAGAACCTGGGTTGTGGTGCAGTTGGATTGGTCAATTGACCTCTTTGGGGGGAACATTGATTGAATAGGAATTTGACAGGCGAAAACGGCCTCTTGAGTAGCAGTTGTCAAAAGGCTGTGAGGTACTGTCATCACGACTCAAACTGATCCCATTTATCAATTCCTGTTTGAATTTTTCGCATATTGAAAGTGTTTAGCCAGGCTGTGCCTCAAAAGTGCTCATGTTCGTCACCTACCATCTGTGCATGATTCTGCTAAGGAGCTCACATTGACTGACAACTAATCAGACAAATTTTTGATCATTTCGTCAAAAAACAGCTGCAGTGAGCCCTCGAAGAGGGTTGAATTGCAGAAGGTCACCTACCCTGACCGACGAAATGGCCCGTCTCCCGAGTTTCTGGAGCTGAATGCTGTAAATGGTAACGAAACAATCTCGACTTGAGGGGACCACTCTTGATTCAGCGTGCCTTTCAAATCCGGGAAGCAGCACAATAAAACCTTTTTCAAATGCTGTTCCGGCTCGAATTGCACTGGGTGGGTCGCCCTCGTCTGGTAGTCGGACAGCAGCCTTCCTGGTTGCTGTAGGGGATGCAACTTTCTCTGCCTCTTATGAGATTCACCAGAAGCTGCTTCCCATTGGGAGAGATAGGAAAGACTGATTGAGGCAAGGTACGTGACGAAAGTCGTTGATCAGTTGGTGCGGAATCCATCAAGCAAGCGCTTTTGTGTTACCCTGATAGTGAAGGTGTCGGATGACGTTATTCTATCGTACTCGAAAGTTTCTTCGTTTCTGAAAAGCCGGTCATCACCATTAGGAAAGGTCGTCTGAAGCGAGCATCGTCGTCGAACGCCGCATCTTCACTCTGAAAGCAAGCGAATGAGCGACTAACGGTCGGATGGCTTATGTGTTCCTTTCCGAGTGCAGTGTTGGTGTTCTATGCAGCGGAAGGAGCACTGCAGCCGTGGAGCCATTTTCAGAAGGGGCTGCTCGGAGTTATTCTTTGGACAATTGTGAATCGTTTAAGAATGTGTCCACGGCATGAGCGTGGCAGAAGTTCGTTAGTGATTGGCCATACTTTGATTTGGTGCCTCCAGACCTTCGCAGCAACAAAACGTATCGTTCGACGCTATAGCTCAGTAACGTGAAAAGTCAAGGGTGGGAATGGGTAGGAGGACCATTAGTCGATTCTGATCAATTTGTTCATTGTTTTAGTTAGCTGAGTACTGCGTGGACAGCATCATACCTACAGAAGGAGGAATTCAAAGGCTCCATGCAGGAGTGTATAGGGAAGGAATAGCGAATTTCTCTGGCATTCGATCAACTATTACAGTGAAGCAGATAGAAAGTTTGTTCACTCGTGAGTGGTTCCAAAGGTTTTCACTTTTTTGCCTTAACTTTTATTTCCGATCACGATTATTATTTCATTATTGTTACTATTATTATTATTATTAAATTCTTGTACTCTCTGCAATACGGTCATCATGCCCGATCATCCTACGATTGATCGTGTGGATGATCGGGCATGATGACCGTATTGCAGAGAGTGGGTTCTTTTGTTGAGAGTTGAGTCGTGTTCGAGCGGTCATAGACGAGAGCTTTATGCGTAGTTGTTGTTTATATCCTCTGCTTTCGTATTCTAACGCAATATTGTTGTGATTTTTATCTACAGTTTTTAGTGTCTTTATTCGATAAGCTTTTATCTCATTCGACAATTGGTAAGAATAAGGATTTTGTCCATAGCAACCTGACCAGCGTTGATGTGAAGGCACGTTTTTACATTTTTTTTTTGAAGTCTCTTGTTTTCCATGAACATAGGTTGTTAGCCTCACCTTTAGGTGTTCCTCTTCACTTTGTCTCTGTGGAGTAACTCCATCGACTGCCCTGCTCGAATTCCGGGACGACTTCGTCTCCGTGGGAATCAAACCAGTTGTTGGAAAGCTATTTGTCAGTTAATTAATAAGTGAGTTATTTCCATTGTTTGAAAATGTAAGATGGTGTAGTAGCTGGCGCACTTCACACACGGGTTCAAATCCCGGATCGATATCTGCTTAGGCTAACCAAGCCTTTCGGGGCCGGTTAACTGGTACCAGACTAGTCTGGGAGGATAAAAACAA